AATTATCATTAGTGAGTAATGGGACCAAGAAGATTAAGAATATCACCAGAGGTTATTTATACCTCGTTCTACTGTGTTGTTTAGAAAGAACTCCATGTGACACTGCGTTCGTGTATTAGAGTCCCTAATTTTCCTCCTGTGGACATCGTTGCAGTGATAGTATAGTTGGTACACCTGCCATTTACCTTCCAGGATGCAGAAAACAGCAACACATTAATTCGGTATCAAAAGGATAAAATTTGTGACTATGTGATTGATTCCTTTAAAATCCAGCACTCATTTAACATTTTGTGGGATTGGCTTTGGAAGCGTTTTCATCATATGTACACACTCTGTAACTTAGCTATGTCTACAAACCAGTCCCTCTAGATAGAACTCATTAGAACTGGTACTTTCCCCTGGAGCATGCTTTGCTATTTCCCTTTGTAATTAGTGCATTATTGTGGATCCCATTAGCATTGTTACATAGGCTCCATCTCTACCTGCTGCAGAGAAGCACTGTATTCAGACCCGCTTTCTCAGCTTTACTCTAAGTTTCACTTCCAGCTGATAAGTACAGCCCAGAATCTACTAAATTCAGCAAGCTAAAATTTTTACAGAGGCTAAAAATGGATAGTGGGACACAAGTCTGGGGAACAGATGCTTGATAGTAAAAAACCCCCTTATCTCCCCAAAGATCTTTTCATTTAACTCTAGGTTACTCTTTGAAGTACTAATTGGTAAGTATAAATCTGAGGGTAGTTTTTTTTTTTAATTTCACTGGAATTAACTAGTACTTAATTACAAAACAGTCTCAGCTGCACACTGTGTTCGCCACTCTTCCTATTTCCGTTTTTTTTTTTCTCTTGTCCTCTCAAAACTTGTTAACAGACAAATCCATTTAGTATCTTCAGTCACTAAGGCAGGAAGAAAAAAAATAATAAACAGCAATGGAATAGAAGCATTATGGTTGCTAGTTATTACCCAGGACACAACTAAGCAAAGAGTCCTGTAGAAATACAGGAAATTAATAATTTCCTGTAGAAATACAGGAAATTATTATTTTCCAGGTTAAAAATAGCTTTATTCTTTTTTCTGGTAATAAAATGACACATGCTCATTACAAAAATTTCAAATGCATAAGTCTGAAGAGAGTAAAGTTTACCCAGATACCACAGCCCTGGTTTGGCAAACATCTCTCTACATACAACATATTATTTAAAAATATCCAGTGTTATAAATGGTCTCATATTAAACATGCTATTCTGCACTATGCTTTTTCATTCAATAGTATTTTAGGGAAAAATTTCCATAGTAATAAACATAGACCTAAATAATTTTTAATAACGGTTGCATGAACTTAATTGCGTAGATGTGCAGCAATTTAATCCATCTCTTACTGAACATTTAAATGATGTTTAAGTGCAGCTTACACAACACTAGGCACAAGGATGTTAACCAAAGCTGCATTGCCTACAAGCAAGCTCTTTTCCTACCTTCTGACATCCCAATCCAATTAATGTTCACCTATGAGAAGTCTAAAATTAGGTAGTCGAAGAAGACTGCAAAGAGGCAGAGGACATCCATAAGAAGGCTGTTACGTGAAGGTCTGATAGGCAATGCTCAAAATTTGTGGAATCAGCAAATGATTTTCACATCCACTCCTTTTCATAGGAGCTTGGACCTGTCTGCAGTGGATCCTTTGTGTAATGAGGAGTATGGAATTCATGCTTTCAGGGTGGCTGTGAGGATTAAACAGAAAAAAATACTCCAGACCAGTTCCCTGCTCCCTTACTCATCCTTCCAGCCCCAGAGCCAGTTTGTGCAAAGCTGTGGTAGAGCCATGAGCCCCTGATTCCTTGGATAACCATTCTGGAGTGCTTCTCTGCAGCTCTTTTCTGTTTCTCTTAATCCCTTCTCTTTTCAATGGGGCATGGCCACTCCATACCCTCCTTCCTTCATTTCTCTATCCTGTCAGGATCTGGGGCATGCACACACATACACCTAGCATCTTTTCAAGCTGTTGGAACTGGGATTAGAACCACAGTTAGCCGTGTGGGATTTAAAGCACAACACTTAAGCACTGTGCCATGGGACTGGCCCATAAAGTCAATTCTTGATTATCTCTTTTGTGAATTATCAGTGGCAACTTCACATGATTCCAGCCAAATTTTCCCAGTCCACCCAACATACTTTCAGATGATGTCTCTAAAATAAGCTAAGTCAGTCACAGAATGCTTTGTGATATGTAAACCAAATGCCAAAGACTTCTGCTTCCTTTTATTAATGAGTACAACCAAGAGTTGCCAAACTTGGACAGGTCATGAAAATTAAAGTTACATGAAGTTTAGGCCTTTTTCCCTACTGGTCTTAACACCTGGGCAGTTTGGGGGCACCGCAAAAGCGTATATGAAGATCGGGAGGGGAAGGCAGCACCGGGCTGCTGGGTATCTGTTATAGGTAGAGATTGTGAGCAGGGAGTTCCACTATGCCAACAAAGGGGACATCAAATCACAGTTGGACCCCCCAGATAGACCCCCTGGCACCAAGAGAGGAGAGGTTATCTAACCCAGATGCTTAGTCAACATCCTAATTTCCACTGGGGCAATAAACTCATAGGGCAGATAGTCTCTGTGGATGCTCTTAATTCCAAAGTCCACACTGGGCATGCATAATTGGGTAATTAAATCCGTCAGATTCCTTACCTGCACACAAGCACACACTAAAGCCTGCAAATTCAAAGAAGTCAGCTCCAATGACAGACATCCCTTCCTAAAAATTTAGGACAAGATCCCAAAATAAAAGTGATATCCCACTTCATTCCCAATGCCATTGTCCTTTTCTGGCAGCTGCTCACCTGCATGGCTTCCTGGTGTGGGGTGTATTCTTTTCTGTTACAACCCTTCATTTTCCTGTTAAAAACTTCTCTCTTCCTAATTTACATGTGTTTGTAGTTTTTCATCTGCATCTTAGGACAGGTCTCTAACCTTAGCATTCTGGACTCAAAGGACTTGCTAATCCATGCATCACAGATCAGCTTCCATTGACAGATAACATACCCTGCAGATCAGCCTGTGAGCTCGGACTCTCTCCACGTTCACGAGGGCCTGTAGGAAGCCTGTCCCTCAGACTAAGGCATATTATATTTTTAACCTCACTTTGTGCCTTTTTATAGAGCTGTAACTCCATGTTTCTGTCTTTGAACCTGACCGTGATTCCTGATGATTTCCTTTTTTGTTGAGTTGTTCTTGAACTTGGACTCCAATCTATGACTAACTCACCCAGGCTGGCTCACCAAAAGGAAAGAAAACAAAAGGAAGAAGAAAAAGGCATAGGTCTAGGTCTATTCCTTTGATGCACAGAAAGCCAGACATCTACCCTTTTATTATAAGCTTTCAAAAATTCTCTGGAAATGGTTTTCATTGAGCATTTCTATCTATCATTATAGAGACAGTCACCTCTACTGTTGCTCAGTAATGCTATTATAGCACAGATTTTTATTACGTGAGTTCATAGAGATAATCTGATTAAGCTCACATTATCCGTGTAGGATAACATCCCTGAAGAGAGAGCCCTACACAGTCACGGTATCTGACAGAGTAAAGGTTCTAACATGTCTATGTCCTAACCTCAGAAACTGTGAATATGTCACTTTACATGAGAAAAGGGATGGTGTGAATGTGAGTAAATTAAGGACGTTGAGATGCGAAGGTTTTCCTGGATTATCTGAGTGAGCCCAATGAAATCACTAGGGGCCTTCTAAGAGACAGGCAGGAGGGCCAGAGTAAGAGAAAAGGGCAACAGAGAAGTCAGAGGGAACAAGATTGAAAATTTAAGATGTACGTTGCTCGGTGTGAAAATATATAGAAAGGCCATGGGCAAAGAAGGCAGGCGACCTCTAGAAGCTAGAAAAAGAAGGTAACAAGTTCTCCCCCAGAGACTCCAGAAGGAATGCCAAGGACTTCTGACCTCCAGAACTCTAAAATGGTTGCTACCTTAAGCCAGTCAATGTCTAATAATTTACAGCAATAGTAGGAAACGAATGTAGGAAGTTTATTTTCCAGTAGGAGAGAGATGACACAGCAACTTTGATGTAATTCAGAAAGTGACAAGTATCAAATAGAAACACAAAGAAATTGCTATGCAAGTGCTCATAAAATGAGTACTTCCTACTGGAGCAATTAGGGAAGCTTTCAGGAGGAGGGTGTTTTTTCAGAGCCCTGATGACAAGGTAGAATTTCAAAAGGGGGAGATCCAGGAAACAGTAGGAGCAAAGGCACAAAATTGAAAGATATAGAACCAAATAAGACGCCGACTAGGATGTGTGACAAAGCATTTTCTCAGGAACAAGGATCACTTTATTAAAATTTTATATGAGGGGATCTTCAAAAAGTTTATATAAAATCCATATTCTGAAAAAAAACTTCACAAATTCCAAAATTGTTTTGCATCAAAATAAACTCATACTGTAATTCTATTTTTCCATACATTTATTGAAGTTCTCTGTACATTCTAATCAGGATATAGTGGATCACTAAATTTATTTTTTAAAAATAAGTATAAAACAGTCAACATCAGGATCAGCAGATGGTGTAATGGTCATGTCTCTGGACTTCCATGTCATTGACCGTGGTTCTAGTCCTGGACTAGCTGAAAACCCACACCAGGCATGTGTGTGTGCATGGTCAAAATCCTGAGAGAATAGAGTAGAAGGGATTGCAGAGTGACCATGCCCCCTGGGGGGTGATTTCTAGCTTTCTGTCTCTCTTTGTCTCTCTGGTGAGCAGAAGCACCCTATATCAAAAATTCCTCTTAAAAAACAAAAACAATAACAAAAACAAAGAAAGAAAAACCAGTCAGCATATACATTAAACTATCTTGAGAGTTTAAGTATAGAAATGCAGGTTGCGACAAGAGTCCCCTCTTTACATAGAACATACTATAGCCCAGAATGAACCTGCCTTATTTTCAGACAGAAAGGATCAACTGGAATAAACAGAAAACACTAGGGCAAATCAGAATTAAAAAGAAATTCTTTCAAAATGCATCTATTAACATTTAGAAATTAGACATTGCCTTCAACCCTCACAAGCAAGTAAAATCAAACAGTGGAATCCAATGAAATGAGCCCAGCAGAGAGAAACTCTGAGGACCGACATTAATGGAGATGGAGAAGATATTGAAATTAAGTCTCTTTTTGGTGAGTTTTGCTTGTTTTGTTTGACTGAAGTCAGAGCACATGACTTGAGTAATTTTTTTAAAAGCTTATTTATGCATTTCTCCCATGAAAGAAGGAAAGACAGGAAGAGAGAGAGAGAGATAGAGAGACATCCGCAATGGCTTCTTCATATTGCCACCCACCTCTGCCTCTTCCAGTCCAGATCATGGGTATACACGCACTAAGCATGAATAGAGAGGCTAGGGACATGAACCTGGGATCTCTCCATGACGGGCCAGCATCAAAGAGTCTTATGCTACTGCTGTGCCACTAGCTCGTCCCTAATCTTGAGTAATTCTGAATGGCTCTAACTTAGTCAAGGTTTGATCATGAGACGGTTATCTTAATAAAACAATTTTTAAAGCCAGTCCACTTTGGGATTTGGAAATTGAAAGAATGGAATCGTCCAGGTTATTTGCATCACCCCAATTCACCACCCATCACTCTCTCCCCTGTACTTATGGAGACAATGTCTTCCCAAGGTGATACGTGCACTCAGTTGCCTTAGCAACACTTGCTTTTTTCTTTATCTTCTGGAGAAACTTCTTTCTTTTTGCACTGTTCGTATTCATGCCAGGAAAATTGAGAGGAACAGCTAGTTTCCACTGGCCTGCTTCTGTAAGAATGGTCTGGAGCTTCTGAAGAAGAGTCCAGATTTATCTCATATTCCTTTACGTCCTGGGATGAAGCTGCGTTGTCTGGGGACCAACATTCTTCACAAGAAGAACTGGGCACATTGCAAGCACTCTCATTTCTCTTGCTCCCTGTCTTTCTGTCCAAGTCCAGAAATGTAACCTCAGACTGGCTGCATTCAAAAGGAATCTTCTGAGTCATTCTCTCTTTCCTCAAACCTTTTTCATAAGGTGGTGAATAATTATTCTGGTTTTCATCATCTTCTACTGGAATACTTGGTACATTTTCCAAGAACAGAGGAGAAGGACACCTAAAAGACTTCAGTGATGTAGGAGGATCTTCAGCAAAATACAAGCTGGCTTGAGAACTTTCCAGAGTATTTAGGACCTAATTAATAAAGAAACAAACAAACATTGAGTTAAGCTTGAATAAGATTTCCTGTTGCCTTTTTATTTTCTACCCATTAAAAAACATTCTCTATTTTTTGTAAAATATATTTAATTATAGAATTTTAAATTAGAAGTAATCTTAAAGGTTAGCTAAATCTTCATTTTGAGTAGTAAATTAAGTGACTTGAAGTAAGGTATGAAAGAAATGGCACTGAATTAAATATCAAGAGACCTAACTTTAGCCCTAGGTTTGTCATCTGCTCACTTTATGACCTTGGGCTAATCTCTCTACATTATTTACTTGAACCATAAATATGTGGAGGACTGGAAAAGCATAGGGACTAGACCATCTAATCTGTTGTTCTCAAATACCACAACAACCTGGGGTGGGGAGTGCTTTGTTAAAAATACAGTCCCTGAGCTACAGACTATCATTCAAAAAAATAAGAGATGAAGGTCCAGGAATCTATATTTTCAGAGCTTCCAAGATAATTTGGATGTGCCACCAGATCTGAGAACTCTACACCTAATAAAACATTTATCTTTGTGCACACACACACACACACACACATAATTTAAAAAATACATATGAAAAGCTTTATAATTTTCAAAGTGCTTTCATGTATAGCATCTCATTTACTCTGTACAACAACATTCTTTATCTCAGTTTATAGACAATAAAGGTGAGGCTCGGAGAAAAGAATCATTATCACTAACCAGCAAGGAGTAGACATGTCATTTATTTATTTATTTAAAGATTTGTGCTATAGGTGTGCGTGCTCACTGGGGAGATAGAGACAGAGAGACAATGAGACTGAAAGCAAGAAATTACCCCCTGGGTGGGGGGTAGTGCTGGCTATGCTGCAATTCCTTCTCCATTCTCCTCTCGGCATCTTGGACACACATACATGCGCCCAAGTCACTGGGTCTAGGACTTGAACTGCAGTTGACTATGTGAGAGTCCAGCGACATAACCATTATGCTATCTGAATTCCTGGTTTCTAATTCCATGTTCCTCAACTACATATCTCATAGCTCTTTCCTGGGCTAGAACTCCATACAACTTCTCCTAGTGGTATAAGGTCTAGATACAGTTCCCCTGACTCCCAGATCCACACTCTACATTCTGATTATGCTGACTCCTGGTTGAAAACCCTTCCATGGCTCTATAGTAGACTCAGGATACAATCCAAATTCCCGAGTGGGATTCACATCCCTCTGTCACTGGGAAGTGTCTACAATTGGTTCCATTCCTCACTCTCCATACCATTTCCACGATGCTGAACTACCTCATCTCATACCAGGGACTCCAACATCTTAGAGTCTTTGCAGATGATGCTTCTCTCTGCCTAGAACACCCTTCTGTCCTTCCTGCTGCCTAACTGCAGCCTGGTCTCCAGATAACAGATAAGCTGTCACCTCCAGCAGGAGCGTCCTTGACGTCCACAGCGGGTATGCATTCTGACTTTGTGCTTGTGTATGGTCTGAGTGTCCATCTATCCTTATACTTGTCTGGTTGGGCCAAAATTCCACATTTACTGATCTGACTCCTCCTTTGAACTGTGAGCTTAAGGATAATTACTGTTATTTTGATCATTGTTGTACCCTCAGAACCCAATATGAAGTCTGGCACATACAGAGTAGACAGCAAATAAACATTTGTTTATTTTAAAAAATGAATCAGAAGATGATTAAATCTATGGAAAAATGAATACATTTAAAAATGGATAAGAAAAGTATATGCTGCCTTTCCATGGGTCAGATCTCTTAAAGAAGGCTGAATAAAATACTCTCTTCAAACTACTCAATGTCTTTTTTTAAAAAAAGAATTATTTTATTTGACTTTATTTACTTATTTCTTTATGTACTTACATTTGACCAGAGAGGGACAGAACGAGAGAGAGAGAGAGAGAGAGAGAGAGAGAGAGAAAGCAAGCCACGAGGTCCAGGACTCAAACCGTGGTCGGCCATGTGGGAGTCCAGCGCCCACACCACCTGCCGGCCAAAATCGTGCATGCTGAGAAAGAGACAGAGAGAGAGAGAGAGAGAGATGGACTTGATGCCGCAGTCCTCCAGCCTCCATAGGTTTTTGCCATAGGGTGGGCTCCAACATGCCCTCAATGTCTTTTTATTGAATTTTTTGTGGAGTTTTGGTTCTACCCAAAAATGACCTCTACCAGAGGCCTTCAACAGGATCTTGATATTGTGGTCTCTCCCCAGCTCAGCCAGCTGTGGATCATGGGCACATTTGAGGCCTGAATACTCAGGAATGTTTTCAGACTTGAACCAAGAACCTTCCTAGATGGGTAAGCCTTGTGGAGCACTGCATTCAACCACTGCCTTGCTGTCTCTTCCCTGATGTGACTTTTGACCTGAAAAAACTACTGTGTGGGAATTCCCTGTTGCAGACTGTACTTGTTTCATTGACAAAGAAAACTCTTATATGCACAACTTGTTTCTGTTGGCTCTGTTTTTTTTTTTTTTTTTTTTTTTTTTTTAATAAAAGCCAGCTTATTTTTCTTTTAATGTTTTTTTTAATTTTTTTTTTTAGAGGTTTTCGCTATAGGGCGTGTGCGCTCGCCAGACAGCCAGAGAGAGACATAGAGACAGAAAGCGAGAAATCACCCCCCCAGGGGGGATGGTCATGCCGCAATCCCTTCTCCTCCATTCTCCTCTTGGGATCTTGGGCACGCACGCACATGCGCCTGGCGTGAATTCTAAGCCACCAGGTCCGGGACGCGAACCGCGGTCGACTACGTGGGAATCCAGCGACACAGCCATTACACTAACTGCTGGTTCCCTGTTGGCTCAGTTTTAAATAAAACCATGTATATACTTACTTCCTCCATGGATGGTCTTAACTTTGCCCGTGTTGCAACACACTGTCCTGCCAAAGAAAATAACTTGGTAGAGAAATTCCGAGGACAGGGATGAACTTTCTTATCTAAAAATGATAGACATGAATCGAGGCCTCTCTTCTCCATCAATTCCATGAGGAGATCTCGCTAGGACAAGAAGGGAAATAACCTTATCATATAGAACTCATTTACAAAAATGACCAAGAGATAGATACCAAGATGAAGAGAATGCTTACCAGCTGAATGTGTTTTGGCTCATTTAATACCACTCTACAACCTGTCAGAACTTCCATTATTACCTACAAGAAATATATAAAAAGTCAGTTATCTGTGTTAAATACATACACCTAATTTATTATTGTAACTCTTAACCATGACAATTAATTTATCATTCTAATTTAATGACTACAATTTATTCCTTGCTTGATTACACAATACTAATGTATAACACAAATAATAAGAAATCAATAAAACTAATAACTAAACCTCCTAAAAAATTCTTAGGGGCCAGGATGTGGCATGGTGATTACGTCATTAGACTGCTACATGGCCGATTGCCATTGGAGTCTGGACCCAGTGGCTTGAAACTCATGCCAGGCGTGTGTGCATGTGTGTCCAAAATCCCAAAAGAAGAAGGAAGGAGGAGGGACTGTGACTTGGCCTTCTCGTTGTCTCTCTCCATCTCTGTTTGGTGAGCACACACACCCTATGACAAACACCTAAACAAAAATAAAATAAACAAATTCTTAGCATTAGAACATTCTTGGTGATAAACTCTCCTTTGTTAACTGGTCGTTGGTACTTACAATTCCAAAGCTATAGACGTCTGTTTTAACGGAAAGTTTCCCCTGTCTGATAAACTCTTCTGGCATGTACCACAGATGCGTGCTGCTGCTGGTCACATTTATGGTAGAATTTTGTTGTTCTTGGTAGGATCGGAAGTGCGCCATGGCAAAATCAGTTAGTTTGGGTTGAAACTGATCATCTAAAAGTATATTTGCACTGAAATTGTGATCAAGCACAAACGAGACAAAAAGTCATAAAGGGATTTTAATGAAAAACGACATGGTGAGCTAAATTTTATATCTGCTTAATTTAAAACATGGACAAAATAAAGCCAACCATAGATCTCCATGAGTAGAGAACTTTCTTTCCCCGTATTTCTTCAAGTATAAATTCAACTGTTGAACAAAACCTAAAACAAACACCTGACTTAGAAAAGTGGGCATTTCCAATTTGCAGGTACAGATATAGAGACTGTGGATAAAGCTGATGTTTTGTCAGTACGGGAAACTAAAGTTAAGTGAAGCATCTTTTCCTGTGCTCTTTTTTACACTTAATGAGTCCCCGAACTCGGTTTAATTGGCTAATAATCAAGCGGCCGCCATGTGCACAGCTGTACTGTAGAATGCCTGGCTTATCAGGACAGAGTCACTAACCTGGGATGATCTGGGGAATCTTCAGTGGTCTCTGCCTTAATGATAGCCCTACCCTGTTGTTCCATTTCATGGCTTTTTTTTTTTTTTTTAGTTATAGTTTTATTTAAAATATTTGCAGAAGCAAAGGCACAGTGGTTCTTATCAATTTAAGTTTTTGTTGTTGTTTTTAGTTTTTGCTAAAGGGCATGTGTGCTCATCAAAGAGAGACAGAAAGAGAGATGAGAGAGAGGAAAGGCAAGAAATCACACCCACCAAGGGTGGCCACTCTACAATCCTTTCTCCTTCGTTCTCCTCTCGGGATTTGGTCATGCACAAGCACATACACACTCAGAGTGATGTTTTTCAAAATGCTGGGTCCAGGACTCGAACTGCACAGCTGGCCATGTGGGATCCAGCACCTTAACCTCTAAGCCACCTGCTGGCCCCAATTTAAGTATCTTAATAATCACTTAACAACTTGGCTAAGAGTAAGCATCAGCATACTTTTACCTTCACAGGGCTGTCACAATAGAGATGGGAGAGGCCAAGACAAGAGGGAGACTGCATTCCACATGGCAACCCCTTAGGAGTGAGTCCAGCCCTCCCTGGCTCTGTGACTGCCAGCAGATTGCCTCCGCCTGTAAGCCTCAAAACCCTCTTTCCTCACAGGGAAATGGAAAGAACAATAGAACTTGCAGGATTGATATGGGAAGTACAAAGTATACAGCCTACTGCCCTGTCCATGGTAATGCTCAATAAATGGTAGCTAACGTTCACGTTAGTAATCTATCCCAAGAGAGTAGATGGATATAGAGAGCAGGTGGGTTGACCAAGAGAAAGTCGTTGATCTCTTGGTTTTGCTTAGGGCTCTTCAGAGATTGTTTGTCAACCTCTAAAGAGAAAGCATCTAATACTAGGTCTGCCCACAACACAATGCCAGATGGTGTACTCGCAGTATTATTAAAATCACTGCTATTAAAAATGATAACAGCTACTGGATAACAAGAAAGCCTTAATCTTGAACACATACTGAATCTTGCAAAGGCTCTGCTGTTCCTGTACAAGCAGGCCACAGGCAGGGCTGAGTTCCACAGTCTGCATTGCAAATACTCTTCAGAGGATTCACTGTCCTACTTTTATTTAGAGAATTGGGGGAAGGGGGTGAGGAAGAGTGAATGTCTGAATCAAAGGCCCAAATCATTCCAATTCACATTTTGTCTGGAAGTGAGTTGACAACAGAAAAACTGAAGGAACTCTTTCTTGATGGCTCTTTAAATTTCGCCCTCCTCTCTAGGTATTGGAAGACCTGTAAAATCCAAAGAGCCTGACATAAGCATCAGCCCTAGGTCCCTTACCTGTTGTGAGATCTTTGCCTTTATGGGGAGAAGGTCAGAGGCCTGATCCCCATGATTTGTATCAACAAGCATGGTCCTGACTTTCTCCTGCTTTGTTTTTGTTTTGTTTTGTTTTGTTTTCCTCATTAGAGAACCTAGCAGCTGCTAAAACTTGCCTGGGTCTCACACAGCCTCATCTATGTCATTCCTCATCCATTCTCTCATTTTCTCCTGGGAGAGCAGTGTTTGCTGTCTTGATGTAACTCTGAAGGTGAGGATAGAATAGTCTCTGATCCAACTACCCCTCCAACACTAGCTAAGAACAGACATTCAGTTCATAATCATTTCTTTCAGAGGTGTATACTCCACTTGAGCAGTTCAAATCTGAGGTTTCTGGAGGTGCCTTGACTGTGTCAGAGTGTGGAGGTGTTTAATATAGGGATTCACCAGGTGTGCCGAGGAGGTGAGGTGGGCAGAAAGGTTCACCAACTCTTGTTGCTAGGACCCAAGCTTCTGCCCCTCCAGCTTCTGCCTGACCCTGCTTCATTTCAGCATGGCGGAAGGTCAGAAAAGCTCTGCATGCCAGATTTACAGTGTCAAACACTTAGACCTTCTTTCTCTTCCACCTCAACTCTAAAGAAGGTATGAAATCACATTTATACTGCCGGAACCGAGAATGCAAAAGTCGAATTCGTGAAACACTTAAGAATCTCTGAATCTAAGCACAAAGTGAGGGGGATGTGGTGGGGAGAGCAACAGCAAAACCTCCAATCTAATCCATTTGTCTGACCCTCTGTGAAACTGGTAGGAAGCTTTTAGCAATTGGTGAGTCACACTCCTGTGAAAGTTAGGCAGAGGTACATTGGGTCACCACAAACACTAGCTACACCATAAACCCACAGAGGACTTCCGGTCAGTGAGAAACCATCAATAAGATGTGAAATTATTCTAAGGTACGGCATTTACACTTGAACAATGATAGCTGGTGAAAAGACAAGTTGTTTTCCAGCAGACTTTAGTGTATAACATAAATTCTGAGTCCAGTGATTTACTCTATTCTAAACAAAGGTTAATGGTAGCTGGGGAAGAAGGATGTTCCGTTTTTAAGAAAAGTGGAAATTGCAAAAGGCCCTTCAATGATTAATGTCTATCCTAATTCTTTCCCCTGCTTCAATCCTAAATTGAATGTTCAAACATAAAGTGCATTCAGCTATCATACAGGTCAACTGGATCATTCTCCTGCAGGGTGAAAATAGGCTCCCCAAATAAAGACAACATAAAATAGCTAAAATCATAACAATATATTGCAAAAGAGCAGTTTGTTGGCCATTGAGGTCACCAAAGAGATAAACAAAAACATGTTTGGTCCACACCAAACTATCCACACTTTTAAGTTGATGTTTTTACAACTGTTATTCCTACTCTTTACCATAAGGCTATTTGCTATAACACAGCAGCCATCAACCCTCTAGATAATTCTAGCAGAAGGACTCTGGGTGTACACTGAGGAAGTGGGGAGAATCCTACACAGGTGGTGAGTTCTCATCCTGACTCTGGGGATCTTACTGCATCTCTCTATTAGTTAAAATATGTAAGACAATTCTTTCAGGGACCTGAGCCCCCAGACAGATGCTGCTTTATAGTGAGAATGGCTGTCTTTACTCACTAATTTGTCTCCCAATTTAGTTGAAGCCCTCGGGCCTTAAATATGAAGCAAGACAAAACACCTGATTATAATGCGGGATTTGAATTGACGTGCAAGTACCATATGTAACATGTAAGGACATAACTGGCTTTTTAAGAATATATCCTTTTAAATGGGGTTACTGGTGCCCAGAAGCCCAGCCCTGAGTGCCTGGCAACCCTCAGGAAAAGTCAGGACTCCAGTGATAACGAGAAGCCACATGGCACTGTTCTGTGACAATATAAGGCAACAGGACACATGTACTGTCCATGTCATAGCTGTTGCAACACGTAGACACCCTCTACTCACTAGATGGGACAAGACCCATGTCCCCAAGCACCTATGGGTTGCCAGAAGAGTCGCACACACACTCCCTCCTGCACTGGAGTCTCATTGCACCTGCCTGGAATGACACAGAACAAAAGCCTTTCCTGGTCCGATTAAATTACGGAGCTTTCTTTCTGCCCTTTGAACATCTGCAGGATTTGCAGATAGTGCAGAAACTTGGTTTTGCTTTATTGGTGCCTTGTAAGTCTAGGCTCACTGTATAAAGGACAGTCAGTAAGGGGTGTTCCTCCTTTAAATGTGAACCTTTAACTCTAACAGAACTAGTGCAACCTGTCTAGGCCTCAGTTTTCATGTTGGTGAAAAGATCTGATAATGCTTACCTCACTGGATTCTTATAAGGATATAAATAAGAAAATGTAAGTAGAGCTCCTGACAGAGCCTCAAAATGTTTAAAGAATTAAACATTTAAAGGACGTAGTCTAGCCATTATTCATCCTACACCCGTTCTCTTACCTTAGAACCACAAGGGGGCTCAGCTGAGTATCTCTAGAAATTTAAGGGTGCCAATTTAAGTAACAAAGGTACTGGGGACTTCAGGCTCACCAGATCTAAAGATCCTTGGGTTAATTAGTTTCAAGAGAGCATGAGTTTCTGGAACCAAAATAGCTCCAGAGACATTCTGGACAACTGAACTAAAGTAGTATTTCTAGATATTAGAAGGCAGTGGAGGAGAAAACTGTTTGACATGTGTTGTGCATGCATGTACACACCTGTGCATATAAGTAAATAAATGTTAGATGCAGTAGTGACAAAAAATTAGGAGGGTAATGTGGGTATGCTCCACACGCTGAACTCTCTTCGCCCCATTTTGTCCCTGTTTTACTTGCAGGCTGCAGCTGGGACGCCAAAGCATCTGTGACCATTACTTTTACCTCACAGAATTTGCCCAAAGCTGGGGCGCTCCAGACATATGTGCAACCCTTCCATCTCAGCATCATGATTAGAGGCACTAAACCCTAAACAGACTCTGCTGTTTCTGTTCATGATCCTCAAACACTGTATATAGAAACCAGACCCCCGTCTTGGAGGCAGAAAGTCTGCACTGATCTTTGATGGGTTTATGGATGTTTCCTTAACATATATAACCTCAGCTCGTGCTCCCCGATGGCACGGATCGCTACCCAGCGGCTGTCATTGGTACGTCCCACCCTACTCTGCTCTGTGTATAAATAAACTCATGTTTGCCCCTGCTGGACCTCCAAGTACACTCTTTAGAAT